GTGCCATACCGCCTTTCGCAGTGGTTGCACCATTTTACACACCCACCAACAGAGAATAAGGATTCCAGTCTTCCACAACCTCTCCAGCATTTGTTGCTTGCTGTTCTGTTAAATTTTACTATTCTGACTGGGGTGAGATGATATCTCAGAGTTGTTTTGAGTCTCACTACTTTTACAAAAAACAAACACTATCCTCAAGGTAAATTTTTTTTTTTCTATCCACTCACCATCTCCTTATCTCTCTATTCTAAGTAATATCCGATATTATCTGGGGTATAAATAGTTCTTTATGTATCTCTAAAATATAAAGTGCTAATTTTTAACTTAACCATAATACCATTCATTATCACACCTTAAAAACAATACTAATCTTTTAACATCATCAGCCTTTCTTGTTGTTGTTGTTATGTACTGCTGTGTTGGAATCAAATCTAGCTGGTCCTCCAGCAAGCTTTCAGAGACAATCCCAAGGAGCAGCTGGTGGATTCAAACCACCTGCTTTTGGGTTGGCAACACAACTCCTTACCACTAAGCCATCAGAGTTCACTATCAATACTTAATGGATTTTATTTCCTGTTTTGTGATATATTTATATGTTATTTATAGTTTGTTTATTGAATTGGAATCTAAACATATCCATTAATATAAGTGGATAAGATCTCTTAAGTCTTTTAGTCATTGGGTATTGTCTGCACCATTTTTCTTTCTTTTTTGTTGTTTCTTTGTTTTAATTGAAGAAAAGGTTTTTATTTTTCATGTAGATTTTGCTGATTGCATACAATAAATATATACAGTGCATTGTATTGTGACCTCAATTTCCTGATAATTTATAGTTAGAACTAGACGTTTGATCAGTTTTGTTTGAATTCTTGGAAAGAAGACTACATCAGCAATCTCACTGCATTTTAATTGTGTGTTAATGTAGCATTTTATTACATTGTAAGCCCTCTGTAGAAAAAAGAATGCATTTAGCTTTTTATCACTAACAGCACAAGTTATGGCAAATGGCTAGTCTCCAATATTTTCTAGATTTTAAATGACTACAGAATTTCATGAGCCAGTCTCAGCTCTTCCTCTAAATCTTTGTAGCTTTTATACAAGGGACTTCATTTTCATTAATTTTAAATGTGATGAGTGCACCAAGCATGTCTTCTAAGACCTTTCAATGATCCCATTAAGTATTCATGCAAAGATCGGGAAGATGGCTGTCTTTTCCACACCTAGAGGTTGCAAAATACTAAAGAATTCAAGATACTAAAGA